GGGGGGGGCGGTGCCACTGACTGAAGTGTCTTTAGGCCATTCCCAAACGGGGGATATTTGTCGTTTTCATGCTCAATAGAATTGTAAATGGGCTGATCCAACAATATGTTATGCTCACAACTGTGCCTGAACTTAACAGCACTGCTGCTTTTTCTTTTCTAATCCTTGCTATCGTCATTCCCTCTACCGGTACTTCTTTTGTATGTTTGTGACCCGTTATTTCCTGGGTGCCTTGATATTCGAAGCAGACTTTGTGCTGTTGAAGCTAGAGAGGTGGGCAGAGTAAGTGTGGTTCCCTGTAAGGACTAATTCTCTGTTGACATCAACCACTGGGCGCTCATGTGACCTTATGCAGATTATTTGCGAGCGCCGTAAAACCTCTACTAAAACAAACATAACTAACTAACTGAAGTGACGCTGATGAACAAATAAAAAAACACCTACCAAAATTACATCATGTATAGATGTTCATAGTTTATACTCCAGGCTTTGGTCCTGCAATCCACAAAATTCGTTATTAATCGCCTCGTGAGAATAGAAGACTAGAACAAAACGAGGAAGAACAGGGTAGTCTACAATAGGGTTTGGGGAAAAAGCAAGGAGGTTACTTGGGAAAAAGGAAGAAACTTCTACCGCTGTATATGTAAGAGAAAGATAGGGGGAGAGGGAGAGAGGGAGAGGCCGGAGGAGAAAGAGAGGACAGGCACGATACTATGTATATAGCACAAAGTGGACCGGATAACAGAGAATGCCGAGGGTGGACCGGATAGCTCAATGCTAGCCTGTTTTGTCCCAGGTGGATAAGAAGAGATAGGTTTGGGTTTGCGATACTGAATCAAAAATCGTTGGGTACGACCTTTGACCTGCTTTGACTGAATAGAGAAGGTAAGAACTAAAATTGATCGTCTGCAAGTGGCGACCATAAACGAGAAGGAAGGGTCAATGACTCAATACCTTACTGTCGTGCCCATGGATCCAGTCAATATTCAGATTCGCCGTGTATGTGAAAAAATGAGTGATGTTGAAGAATAAGCATAATGCATGGACACACAGCTCTCTTTTGGCACACTGCAACTTCTCTCCAGTCAGCTGTACGGGCTCTGGGGCCCATTGACCCAACAATTCTTCATTATATTAATATCCCAGTTACTGCTCAAAGACATTTCATTAATTAAAATCGGGTTCCGGAGGGTCGAGTTTCCCTGCAATCTCCCATTCGGTCGTCTATCAGCACGATAAAACCCGTCTCCTTGTAGAACGTCAGTTTTCGGGCGCCGTTCACCTGGTTTTGTCAGGTTTGCATCATTAGGACTACATTAAATTTTTCTCCAAACACATTAAACGAGTATGTTGAATATTTTAGTGGGATTCTTAATTCTTGTTATGGCATACAAAGATAATATGACTCTATGCCCGTTTACTAGATTCTATTCCCCTACAATAGGGCTCACTAAGCCTTTTTTTTAAAGGCCCAGATAACTAAATAGCGTGTTTTGTTCAATGCGATAAGATAAGATAAGATAAGATAAGATAAGATAAGATAAGATAAGATAAGATAAGATACA